CAGGCACTGAGCATGCGGTCACCACAGGACGTGGCCACGGTTCCTGCCACATCAGCCCCGTGCCGAGATGGAGCTGCAGTCTCCCTACAGTTTGTTCTGGTCCTTTTTTTTTTTTTTAAGGTTTTAACACTGAGCAGCACATAACAGCTTTCTTCTCATTCCTGACTTTACCTCCCTCTCCCGCCCACCGCTGAGCAGGACGTTGTTTTTTAAACAGGTGTCAGTGGTGAAGGTGGTAAATAAACCGCTGTGTCCTGCAGGTACCACCTCACCTCTTCGTCCCCCTTTCCTTTCCCCACAACCACAGCTACTCTGGGCACTGAAACCTCCCTGACGTGAGAGAATCTGCTGCTTCCAAAGTCAGGAGTCCCTTTCAGCTGAAAAAGGAACAGTTCCTGGTTTCAGTTCTCTTCCCTTTCAGCACAGGTGTCAGTTTTCTCCCCAGTTTACCCAAGTAGCACGTGCTCATCTTGATACTCCTGTGGTTAGCACTGAGCAATTTAGGCGATTATTAATTTCTGCAGACAAAAGCAAGAAAATCACGAGCAGGTTTGCTACATGATAGGACGACTAATAATAAGAAGCGAAGTGTCGATACAGAAACTGCAGACCACTCACACAGGGCAAACCACATTAACTAAAGGTTCTAAAATGTAAAGTAAACTTTATTATCCTTGAACCACAAAATAGATTTCTTTGGTTGTACAAATTTCACTAGTTACAGTCTTGATGCGCTAATTTTCCCTCAGAGTCTCTCAGGAGAGAATGGGAGAGAACCCAGAGCCTGGCACCAGGTACCGCAAAGGGAAAGAAAAGAAGAGAATCACAAGTTAGTCACCAAAACCAATCCAGGATTGTTTCCAAAATTGCTGTTGTTAAAAAGCAAATGCTAAAATTAGATTTAAAAAGGAAAAGCTCAAATTGCTGATGATGGAAGCAGCCACAGCTGCAGTTGAGATTATCAAGAGTTCCCCCTTCAAAGCTCTGTAAAATTAAAACATACGAAGTCAGTTAAAATGATCCACTGGATTTTGGCATGAAGGGATATTCTCAACTAAAAGAAACTGCATCCAGTTCTTTCATTCAGCAAATGTACAAGCAGAAGTGCCCGTTGCTCCCAAGCCACTTCAAGTCACTGGAAGGCTTAAGGTCCAACTCTGGTCTTACTGCTAGAGGGGCTCA